CTCGGCTCTAACTGCTGTGCAAGGTACCAAAGTCTGCCCTGTACGTTGGGTCTGACCGTCATAATCTTGGCCTTCCATGTTATAATCTATATTATTTAATTATTATTAAATAGTAAATATTAATTTTTTTTGTATACAAAATTATTTTGGCTTATTAGACAAAAGTATATTTCATTGCTAACTTTTGAATTATTTAACCTTTTCTTAAATTATATTATAAAATATAAAATATAGTTATAGAATTTATATAATATATTTTTTAATAATTTATTTTATAACAAATAATTTATTCAAAGTTAGCTATTATATGCAATATATATAACTATATATTTAATAATTAGTTAATTAGAGTTAATGTACACTATACTGTGATTTGCTAATAATAGATTTTAGTTATATAATCTTAGATAGGCATAATAAGTATGCTTCAACCAAATAGAATACCTATATAAAAATGCTAAATATTTTATCTATGTTTAAATTCTAAATAATAAAAAATAACAAATAAGAATATAACAAATTAAAGTATAATAAATAAGGGTAGCTTAGGTGTAATAGTTAGATAATTAATATAATCTATATATAACAAAATTTGTATAAATTAAATCAAAACTAATTTGATAAAATTAAATTTTATAAAAATAGATAAAACAAAAATAAAAATTATATAATTTAATTATTAATATTGATTTGTAATATTAATTTACAGATTTAAATATTTTATAAATCAGAATGTTTTAAAAATTAAAAAAATTTTGTAAAAATTATAACTAATTTTTTTGTAAATAAGTTTAAAAGCAATTAAATCATAAACTACTTTTAGAGTATTTGAAGTTCAAACTTAGCAGTTTACTAATAAACAAAGTTAAACAAATACAGGTAACTATTAATTAAAATAAAATAAAGTATTTAATAATCTATAATGTTAAATAATTGTTTGAGAATTTGAAAAGTTGTAATGATATTTATATACAAACATTTTGCAATTAGTTAATTATACATATAAAATTTATAATAAATTATATACCATTTTATTTATATAAAAACATTTGATTTTGTTAAAAAGCTTTTAATTTTATAATAAAAGGAATAATTTCAAAGTTAAATCAAAAATTGCATTATTCTAAAAATAGCTAATATATAAAATCTCAGAGTAAGCAAAGAACACTTATTAGCAGTAAATTAAACTAGTAAAAATCTTTACAAATTCATCTATAATTCTAAAAGTTTAAATTTAAATATATAATAATAGTAAATGCTAAATATTAAATAAATGCAAAATTTTAAAAAACTAAATTTTATTTGTTCTAGAATACGTATGTAAAAATTTTTTTGTAATATTGAACTGCATGCACTATATAAAGCGACATTAAAATTGTGTTATGCTTTTTTTAAAATTATAACCTTTAACAAATATTTAAAAAATTACAAAAAAAAAAAATTCATTACTTTATAGAACTTATATAAAACTACAATATTATAAATTTTTTTTTTGTAAAATTTTAAAATCCATTAAGTAATGATTCTGAATCTTTTAGATTATTTGCACTGTAATAATTATTATCATATGTACTACAGTCAAGGATTATCCAATATATTAAAATGTTATTCTAAAATGGATTTTATTTAAAAAAAAAAAGCATTTTTTGATATCTAAAAAAAACGATTAATTTAAAAAAAATTTCAAACTTTTTTCGCAAAAGTTGGTCTCAAACCTGAGTCTGGGATCCAAAAGGTGGTTGTGCACCAAATAAAAACACGGCCAATTGCAGATCTTTTATCAAAAAGAGAAATAATCTGCGTTACACGAATTTGAAAAATCCCCGACTGTACTGAATTTCCTTATGTCAAGAAAATCCCGAGCTGCCGGCCAAAAAGATATGGGTCGTAGTATATAAAAAATTCTCTATTTATATAAATTAACAAACGTGTCTTATAAGTAAAATTTCATTCTGAAAACTTTTACTTAGAGATCGGAAGGTAGTCATCATAGTAAATTTTTGTGTTATTTACGCTTTTTTACAATTTCTTAAGTTTTTCGCGTTTGTTTTGTTACACGAGATCCTGTGATTTTATTGGATCCGGATAGGGTTGGAAGTGATCTTCAGCGATCTTCCCGGGTCGGAACAATCAGATTTAGCCCGGAATTTAGTAATACAAGCTAACCATTTCTGGGCCAAAATTATCAGCTGGGCAGCTTTACCTAATGAGTGATCTATGGTTTCATTAGTAAAACTTTTAGTGATCTTGGGCAAAATTAGTTAATTCCGGCCCTGCCGATCATGATTCCGAAGTATTCTGACTCGGAATTTTGGGGATCCCCCTGTATGAGTTCGTATAAGGGTACCCGACTGTACTAGAAATTAGCTATAATACATACTTCAACGATATAATTATTAAGAATAATGATAACGATAATAATAATAATCTAATAGTGACGACCAAATCGTGTGCATTAATTGACCAATCAGGATTACTGAAGATTTCGACACGTAATCATTGCGATCATTTGTTCTCGTAAAAAGTGTTTTTCCACGCTCCGGAAAATTATTACATATAGTAAATATAAATGTAGTAATTAACAAAGAAAACTAAGAACAGTATTACGCTCACTAGAACGACAACAATTTAATTACAAAATAATAAAAGAGCCTATATAGATAAACTATTAGAATATAGACAGATTAAAATACGACCATTTACAAATTACAAGTACACAAGGGACAATTAGAATTGAAAATCAACCGGCCAAACAACAGAATCATTCAAATTATAACTGTCCTTTACGATATTCCCGATCGTCAACCCTGCAAAAAAAAATAAAAATTCACGTAGAAATATATAGAAAACATGTCAAGTATTGCGAATAGTAAATGCATAAAATATATAGTAAATATATCAAAAATTACGACTTTCTATATATTTTCTATACAACGTATATTTTCTGGATATACTTTTTTTATATGGCCACACTACCCGGAGTAGCAATATAAGGATTATTACGAATATCTATACGATATTTCCTATAACAAATAAAGCCTGCAATCACAATGCCAACAACAATCGTGCCTCCAATACCAACAACTAGTGGAATCATGAGAGAATTATTATTATTATTACCAGGTGAAGTACTGCCACTAGGTGGTGTACTACCAATATGTGGAGTAGTGCCAGTTGGACTAGTGTTTTGAACCCAGGTATAATTTGAAGTGTCCATTATGTAAATATTATTATTAGGAGTAGTTATATTAAATTTTAAATTTGTACGTGAAAATTTAGCACCTAAGAATAAAAAAAAATTTAATAAAAATTGGCGACAAATGATTAGGAAATATTTCAAGCAATTAATATAATCACCAAATGCCACAATCATATATTTTCCAACCATCTCAGCTGAATGATAGGCAAGAGATGGTGGTGCATATGAGCTTGTAGACGGTATGGACGACCACATGTAAGTAGTTGTATCCAATGCAGCCGAAGATGGAGCTGGTTCAATAGTAAGATTATTAGCACCACCCCCATAAATAATAATAGAACCGTCATAGCCTAAAAAAAAAAAAAATTCATTGATTTGTAGATTATGAATTAAATGATAAATACTTTGAGGTAGTACTACAATTTACTAATTACCTAGTACTGCAGTATGAGATTGACGGGCCGTGATCACTTCGCCACCTGCAGTCTAAATGGTTTATATAAATTAAAATACAATAAGAATAAATATCTTGACGATTGAATTTAATCAAGGAAATGAAGTATTTTTCTAATAAATTAATGAACAGAATTTCCATCTTTTTCAAATACATTATAATAACGTGATAAGTGCTTGCCTATCACGCACAATTTTATACCACCGTCCTGCATGTAACATACTTTATTTAAATATTATTCAAATAAATCTAATACTGTATACGGCAAATTTGGACTGATTCACGACAAAATTTAATTTCGAAATATTCGTATCAGAAAGCTCATTTACCTACCACCGAAGACCAATTTCCAAAAATTGTATCGTAAATTGATATCTAATAAGAACAATAAAACTGTCAAAAAAATAATAGAATTAACACAATCAAGTAAAAACTTAGTTACTTGTGTCATATCAATTTCTGTAGCTCTTGCGTCATCATTTGTCCCTCCTATGTATACTATTTGCCCATTTGGTAAAAGTGTAGCAGTATAATCGGATCGAATGATCAGAGCACTAGGATAACTACTAAGCCAAGTTAAACTCACAGAGTCCAATACGTAAGTATTATTGTAAGATTTCTGGGTTGTAAACGGATCATATCCACCAGAAATATATATTCTACCATTCTTATCAGCAACAGCTTTCATTTCCTGTCTGGGTGGTGGTGTAATACCTGATATTGATGTATTAATCCATTTTTGAGTCACTATATCAAAGGTAAAGGTCACTAAATTAGACGCATTGACAGGATTTGTTATACGGTGTTCAAATAAAAAAATAGTAGTATTATTGCTTCCACCGACACAAGAAGGTGAGAAAGCACTAGATACGGGAATAGGAGCAATAGCTGTGAGATCAGTCCATTTAGGATTTACAGTGCTGAATGGTAAAGAAACATTCAAATAAAATAATTCGTTAGTGCCTTTTTCAGAAACATTGATACCACCCAAGAAGTATATTTTATCATTAATAACGACGCTGCTCTGTAAATAACGACTTGTAGGTACAAATGCAACCACTGTTGTGATAACCAGTTTAAGAACCAATGTTATTAGAATGTGAGAAGGATTCATACTAATAATTGTTCAACTGTTATCAACATTCATTCTCTGGAAAAATCAAATAAGTTATGTATGTGTGTATGTGCAACTGTTAACAAAAACATATAATATGACACGTAGACATTTTATTTACCATTTTTATGTTGTAAAACAGAGTACTGGGAACATAGTACGAAGTACGAAGTGTATGGCTTACAGACAAGTTGCTGTGTTCAAAATCTCGAATTTTATGAACAGCATGATTGTTGTATGTACATCCTTTTTTTGGTTATGTCTTTACCAAGAAATGCGATTACGTTAAATAATTATTTGGTTAGATTGAACATTTATTCTTGATTTCATGATCCAAGTCGATTCAGTTTAGCATTCTTCCTTATCCGTGGCTTTTTACTGTAATGGTACATCTGAATTAATGTTATTTACATCAATATAAAAGAATACAATATCGAATACGCTTTGATAAATCCTTATCGTTATGTAAAGATATCTTGCCAGCATAGCGGCTTTCATTCTGATTGGCTAATGTTTGTAGATCATTTAGTTACTTTACAAATTTTGATTGGCTAATAGAAACGAGTTCAAATAAAAAAAAATTTTAGAAATTATTAAACAAAAAGGTAGATTTCAACTATATATTTGAATTTAAAATATGTTTGCTTAATATATTTATCCTGGTAGCCATTGTAAATATGTAACTGATTAAGCTCAATAAAAAAAAAATATTTTAATGACAAAATAAATAATTAAAAAAAAAAACAATGACTATCAATAAGGTAATTATTGCACGCACATGAAGAGCATGAACAGCATAAAAAAACAAACATCAACTATAGAACAAAGCATGTAATCGTATAATACATATCTTACGTATGCTCTATATTTAATATATTATTGCTTTTTAAAAACTTAGTCGAATAACCTATATTCAGAAAAATCTAACTGTAGGTAGAATGAAAGGTGTAGTTTCGGAATTTGTCGCATCCTTTGTCAATTCCTGCCAATTCGGTTAAAGTCAGATGGTATATCGATGTAATATGTGATGATACATTTATTAATTTAAGGGTATCATGTTATTATCAGAGTGCGAAGTCATGTCCCACTCCTTAAGTAAAACTACCCAGCCGATAATTTGTGTCCCAGAAATAGCTGACTCGTATTGCTAAAGCGGTCTAAATCTGACCCGGAAATTTGTAAAAAATATCAAACTACTTTAATCCGAAAAAGGTTACCGTTGTATACTTAGACAGTTTTTCTATAAATTATATTGTTTGTTAAATATAGATATGTATGTGCGTACGTACATGCTCTTTTTTGAAACACTGGTCGGAAATTTTCTCCCAATTGATCTGCTAAAATCTTCACGCAACATTATAATTAATGTATGTTAATACTTATATTATTGGTTAGATTTTTACACAAAAAAAAATAATAATAAGATTCATATGAGCATGATCAAATCCATACTCATAACAATAACTGTGAATTAATACTAATATTGGCATAATTAAACCTTCTAAATGGAATATAATCAACATTAAAAACAACAAAATCAAACAACATAATATCACTAATCAAATAATAAATTTATGCCAAACAATATAAATATTAACCATAATCCTTTAATCCTTCATAAACTCAAAAAAAAAAAAAAAACACCAAATCATCTACTCGAAGAATTTACCAAAATTACGTTCCTGGTTTTGTACGGCGTCGCGCAGCTACCTTATAATAATTCAGTAATTATAAATTAAATTGTAAAATACTTTTATGGCATTAGTGTTGGGATGACCAATGCTGTCACGGGACAGTTGTTGTCATGAGTTTAGACACTTTTGGACAAATAAATAAATTACAATTACTCAAAATTTTGTTAAGTTATCCTATTTAAATTTTCTAAGCCCGGAATTATTAATTCCACCGGCGTAATTATTGTTACATGAAATGTGTGGTTCCATTCAACTTTTTGGTTTCCTTTATTTTTTCCTATTTTAGAAACTGTTATGGTTGTCGTATTTATGCTGATTTTAGGTATTACTAGTACCTACATAGTCTGCACACGCTTTACTGCGTGAGCTACATATTCGTGTAACCTATGGTCATGTGTCTAAAAGTAGTCAACCACAATGCAGAATGCAGGTGAAAACCAGGAAGTCTAAAAATAGATTGTTGTGAAGTTTATAATAATCTATTTTTAGACTTCCTGGTTTTTACTTGGGGACACTCATATGAGTGCCGCCAAAGGAAAACCTACAGACAATTTAGTACCTATTGTTCTTAACGTTAATATTATTTGAATCTTCTCATTAAGATGATTCGAACGATATTAAAATTAATAAGTATTAAATTGCCTGATTTAAGATATTTTTATTAAAAGTAAATATTCAAAAAGTATATGTAGGTTTTCCCTTGGCGGCGCTCATATAGTGTTCTTATAAATTGTGGCCATGCCATGTATTTGAGAATTTACATAGAGTTTGCACATAGGGGATTTACTGTACGCATTTGTGAGAAAGTAGAATTAATTGATTAATTGGCAATTCAAAACTAACGTGTGTAAAACAATTTTATCGTATTTATTCAATATTCTAATAACAGAAACGAATTCGAGAATTTTAATAAAATTCTAATTTCGACTATAATTAACTGAGGTTAATAATCAATTTAACTCTTCTGAACCTTTATTTGAAGGCCCATTTTATGATTTATTTTAAGTCATATAATTCATTTAATAAAAACAACTTGGAGTCATGAACTTTCTTCATGGACAATTTGTCAAGAGGATTTTGAACTTTCAACTAAATTTTCTTGTAGTCCTAATCAATTCCATTTCACCTCTACAAAAATATCTTCAGAGTATTATGCAGTTTTATCAATGGATCAAAATAGTTCACACAGTGTAGCCTGTCCAGAATTTTGAGCTATACCAATAAATGAATTAAATTGAGAGTAGTTTATAATGGGTACGAATCTGAATTGGATTTGAGAATCGTTAATGGTAACGTTGTTGAGAAATTATTAGCTATTGCCAGAATTAGAATTGCAGCTGTGTTAAATATTATTCTTGGATAGATAAAAAATATTTTTAATAGGATATAGCATGTCTTGAAAAATCACTACTGTTAAATTCTTAATCTCCTATTTTTCCTATTAAAATTAGTGTTGAAAGTTTTTATCAAAACATCATTGCTAGAAAAGCCAAGTATCTAATTCGAAGTCGGATCTACAATGGTGACTTTTTTTATCTTTACTCCTTCATTTGAAAGTAATTGAGAAAAGTTATATCCATTTGCATCATAATTTGGACATTTATATTGTGATGATTTTTAGCAGATATTATAATGATAACTCTATAATTAGAACTTTAATCATTGGTTATAATGATTATCTCTGTTATTCACTAATTGGTTTTTACTTTTGCTAATAAATTTTTATTTCGTAGATCGAAAGTTATATCTTGAGATTTCATGATTGTTAACAAAGGAAATCAATGACTTTATAAACATGATTAAGGAAATTCTTTTGTAATTTGATAGCTTTAATAAACTAGTGCTAAGTACGTGACAATATTGTGCTATTTGTAGTATTGAAGTTGATAAGATTTAAACATTCAAGTTTTAAGATTGTGTATTATAACATTAGGGTTATTAGGGTTGAAATTATTTAAAATCCAAAACACATTGCCTATATTAAGATTATTTTACTTTTGAAGCAGGCCTACTAAAGTTTGAATAATAACCTAACTCATGAGTTTTTCTATTGAACCCTTGTAGTGTTTATATTACACCGTACTTTCTTTATTATTTTAACATGAACTGATTTTGGCTGAGCGATCAAAACTAAGATCAAGCATCAAAAAAAAACTGTAAAATTGCTGTTAACAATAAATTTCCATAGCATTACTTATTATTACCTTCATAAAATGTTAATATTAAGTAATATTAATATGATTTCAAGTCACTGGTGACTTGCATAAGAAAATTGTATCTGGTTTGGAACTCTAGTACGTTTATATAACATCTTAGTGAACAGGTTAGCAATCAATTAAATACGTACGTACGTATAATACAGACAATATAGGTGTAACTGAAACTGTTTGAGACATCCTAAAGTCCGTCTATAGACATTTATTTTATCAACCGGAAAAATAAACTTTTTAGCATGGCGAATTATATAAAATATTTATTTGTCATTAAAGTATAAACGTAATTTTTCTTACAACATACAGTAAATTTATATCTTAGAAGTAGCTTTAATTAACAAGCATTTGAAATGGCTACCTTCTTGATGCTAATGTTACATTAAAAATTACAAAAATATATTTTTATATTTAAAATTTGCTATTATATTTTAGACGTTGACCTAATTTATATTCAACTTTTAGATGCTGAATTTACATTAGAAACAATTGAATTAGGAGCCAGACTTTTTGAAAGTTTAGTAAAGGTTTGAAGTGTTTAACTTCACACTTCTTAGCTCCAAGCAATGAATTTTTTTCATAATATATATACAAAAAGGATTACGAATTATTTGTATAACTACTATATATGGAACGTGTACCTGGTGTAGGAATACCATCAGTAGGAACATTTTGGACAGCATAGCCATGGGTAGGGCCGCCTTGAATAAAAGCTCCTTGATTATAAACACCCTGGATAGGACCTTGAGTAAAAGCACCTTGGTTATAATTGCCTGGGGTGGGTATACCAGAAGGAATGAATGTAGCATCAGGAGCACCAGACTGATACGCAAAATTCGGAGCATCATATACGGAACTCGTATTTGAGACGTAAGAAGGAGTACCGTACCGATTCATAGTTGGGGAAGGGGTGGAAACACTGTATCTAGCTTCGCGAATATTCGTACCTGGAGTAGGAACATAATCAACTGGTTCATCATATTCGTGATGTTCGCGATCACCCATACTACCCGGAGTAGGAACATAAAGATCATCATCAGGATCTCTACGATATTTCCTATAACAAATAAAACCCACAAGGCCTGCAACTATACCGCCAACAACAAGCGTGCCTCCAATACCAGCAACTAGTGGAATCAGGAGGGGATTACTATTATTATTGTTATTATTATTATTATTATTGTTGTTGTTGTTATTACTAGGTGAATTATTGCCAGTTTGACTAGGATTTGGGTTTGAAGTAGTTGTATTATTCGGATTTAATTCAAATGACGAAATCCAGGTATAACTTGATGTGTCCAGTATGTAAATATTATTATTAGGAGCAGTTATTATATCGAATTTAGTAAGTGAAAAGCCAGCGCCTAAGAATAAAAAACTTAATTAAAGTTGACGACAAATGATTAGAAATTATTTCCATCAATTAATATAATCACCAAATGCCACAATCATGTATTTTCCAATCATATCAGCTGAATGACAGGCAAGAGGTGGTGGTTGATATGTGCCTGTAGATAATTTGTTCGACCACACATAAGTATTTGTGTTCAATACAGCTAAAGCTGGAGTTGGAGCAACAGTAAGATTCTTGGCACCACCCCCATAAATAATAATAGAACCATCATAGCCTGAAAAATAAATCATATTATTTATAGATTATGAATAAGACGATAAATACTTCGAAGTATTACTACAATTTACTACATACCTAGTACTGCAGTATGAGATTGACGGGCCGTAATTATGTCACCAGTTGCAATCTAAATGGTCCATATATATATAAATGTAATATAAGAATAAATATCCCGAAGATTGCATCTAATCAATGAGATAAAGTATTTTTCTACTAATTCAATGAAACAAAGTTCCTATCTTATTCTAATTCTTGCAAATACATCACAATAACTTTGAGAATCATGATAAGTACTTGCCCATCACACAAATTTTATACCATCGTCCTGTATGCAACATACTTTATTCAAATATTATTCAAATATTAAGACTATCATTTAGACAGACCATATCCGATGGTTGAAAAAACACTCATTTTACTACTATATTGTGAATAACAATTTAAAATTATCATATAAATCTAATCTATACAGATAAAATATAATTCCGAAACATTCGTATCGGAAAGCTCATTTACCTACCACCGAAGACCAAGTTCCAGAAATCGTATTATAAATTGATAACTAATAAGAAAAATAAAACTGTTAAAAAATAATAAAAGATTTTACACAATCAAATAAAAACTTTGTTACTTTTGTCATATCAATTTCTGTAGCTGTTAAGTCATCATTTGTTCCTCCTATATATATTATAAGCCCACTTGGTAAAAGTGTAGCAGTATAATCGGATCGAATTATCGGAGCACTAGGATAACTACTAAGCCAAGATAAACTCATAGAGTCCAAAACGTAAGTGTTATTGTAAGATTTCTGGGTTGTATACGGATCAAAACCACCAGAAATATATATTCTACCATTCTTATCAGTAACAGCTTTCATTTCCTGTCTGGATGGTGGTGCAACACCTGTTGTTGCTGTATTAAGCCATTTTTGAGTCGTTGTATCAAAGGAAAAGGTCACTAAAGTAGTTGAATTAACAGTATTTGTGCTACGGTGTTCGAATAAAAAAATAGTAGCATTATTGATCCCACCAACGCAAGAAGGTGAGAAAGCACTAGATACAGGAATAGGCGCAATAATTGTGAGATCAGTCCAATTAGGATTTACGATGTTTAATGATGAAGAAGCATCCAAATAAAATAATTCATTAGAGCCTTTGCCAGAAACACCGATACCACCAAAGTAGTATATTTTATTACTAATAACGACACTGTCCTGGAAATAGCGACTTGTAGGTACAAATGCAACCACCGCAGTGATAAACAGATTAAGAACTAATGTTATTAGAATGTAAAAAGGATTCATGCTAATAACTGTTCAACTGTTATCAAAATTCATTCTCCGAAAAAAAATCAAATATATTATGTTTGTATGTAGGTGCGACTGTTAATAAAAACATATAAAATAACTCGTAGATATTTTATTTAAAATTTTTATGCTGTAAGTGTAATACATAATTATAAATTAAATTACAAAATTACTTTTATGGTATTGGTGTCGGTATGACAAACATAAAAATTTTGAATTTATCAGGAACGGAGTATGATGTACGTAGAGTATGATTGGACAAAAATACCTTGTGATTTTGTGTAGCACCGCGATATTTGTTCGCAAAAATCTCAGATATAATTGGTTTGTATAAACGGAGTGCAACTGATTTATACGATTCAATGTATGCGTCTACGTAGGTACCTTATTTGTGTATGTGTCTCTCTTCCCGGAGGTATTTTTTTGGCATGGATTTCGGGCTTAAAGTCATGCCTTGTTTTTTAATTTATTTATTCCTGATCTTACCAGTTTTATTTATCGTATCCATCGCATGATTTCTATATAAAAAAAAAGTTTAAAATCAATTTGATAAATATAACAAATGCTAGTTATGTCATGTTTTTCTTATTTTGTTTGTTAGAAGAAAATGGATTTTACAAAAAAAAAGCATGATTAAATTTAGAGTGTTACTATTTCCACCCCCCACTTTTGCTAATGCCACCCCTCGCGAGTTTCCGACCCTATCCGACCCTCTACTAACCCTAATCAGAAGAATATGTTACACAAATAAAGGTCACATGACCAGAATTTATATAAACCGTAACTTCAAAGTCACGCAACTTATATTTGTGTAACATATCATTTAGGGTTCGGAGATCGGCTGAATCATGTGGGGGTGGCATTACAAAAGTGGGGGGATGAAAATAGTCATTTTCTAAATTTATTCATTATTTACTGGGAAGTTAAAGGGTATTTCTCTTTTGCACCTGATTGCAATCCTTATGATTTTGTTTTTTATATTTGTATATTATATGTGGTTTTTTTTATATATGTTGTGAGGTCCGAAAACGTGACCGATATCACGTGGCGTAGATCCCGAATGTCTGGTAAACTCATACAGGGGAATCATGATCGGCAGGGTCGGAATTAACTAATTTTGCCCAAGATCACTAAAAGTTTTACTAATGAAACCATAGCTCACTCATTAAATAAAGCTGCTCAGCTGATAATTTTGGCCCATAAATGATTAACTTGTATTACTGAATGCTAACTAAATGCTGGGCTAAATCCGAAGTATTCTGATCCAAAATTTTGGGAATCCTCCTGTATGAGTTCAATTAATATAGTCTTCCTAAGCAAATCCAGCATTACTAACAATCGAAGGCACAGTCATGTGATGACCCGACCTTATCTATCTATACAGTGCAACAATAACACAAAGACAGTGCCTGATCTAAAAATGAATCACTCTTGTTTGTGATTAATCACAAATTAAATTATTTATTTTGGTCAATTGTAATGGATATAATCCCTTTCCAATTTTATAACATTAACAGTAAGTAATGTAAACAGTCAACTATTTTTATAGCATAACTTTTTATAACGAATTATGTTGAAGTTGGTATAGAAGCACAATAAATTCCTTTTATAAAAAAAACTGTTACTAATTTTTATTATATATTCAATTTTTTTTCTTTTTCATTCGTTTTTAACTCATATTATGTCACAAAATACAAGTGGCATAGAAATACAAGAAAATACTATAACTAAATGACTACAAACTCTTTATTATATCAAGAGTTCTCTATAATAAAATTGGGCAGTATTTGGACAGGCATGTTCTTTTCATTATATAAAAAATTTGGAGTATAATTCATAACTCTACAGTCTTTTATAGCTTTTATTGAATTTTTAATTTAGTACATAAATGCATACTTGTTTATAAATTCAATTAAAATTAAAGCTTACTACTTTATAATGATTCTGGACATAATGGGCATAAAATTTTAAGTTTGTATTAATTGAGATTTTTAGAATTCTACAATCTTTTATAACTTCTATTGAATTATGTATTTGTATTAATTGGGTTTATGAATGCAGATCTTTAATAAATCCAATTATAGTCAAAGCTTACCATAATTAACTTTTTTTTGAAATGAGTTCGAAAAGTGTGGATTTGTATATTCAATAATTATACAATATAATTTAAATTTAACAATTCTTTTAGTCTGTTCGAGATTATTATTCAGTAACTAAGTTTATGTTTAGAAT